TGTCAAAAATGTTGCTTAGATAAAATTGAATTTCTCGAAAAAAATTTGTTTATATCTGAGTGGAATCTCACCTGAGCCATACAAATTGTCCCAGTGTCCCAAAGATATTTTTTTCAGACTGCCGACTTTCGAAAATGTGAATTAACGACGAAATCTAACATGGATTTTTAATATTTCCGTCTTATTGGACAAACTACTGTACATTTACGCTGCTAAGATGGACTTGCATGCTGGAGCATAATTCAACCCAAACATCAAATGAGGTAAATCAAAACGCGTAGAGCAGATAAATTTTCGTTTTGTACAGTATTCCTTACTTTAAGATTATGGTAAATATTTTGCATATATAGCTCAGGACGAGTTTCTTTTCTAAAAGCAGAGCGCTGTGCCTGTTTTTCTGCCACAAAAGGTATATAAGGACACCTTGTTACATTCAGGCTTCTAAATGATAAGCAATGGCCAACTTTAGGCTTGAACGATTTTAAAAAAAAGGCTGCTTTTTGAATATCAAAGAAGGCCTGGTATTTCCTCATTACCATTTCAGAAATACTTCACAAAATCAAGAAATCGAATTTTCATACGGTTTTCCCCATAACTGATGGTCATCTCGAAATTTTTCATGTATGCCACAGTAGCATTTGAAAACTGGTTTTGGATGGAAAGTACAATTTTTGGAAGTTTCTTTGATTTGATTTTCAAATTAGAACGATTATTTTTTCTCTCACTTCGGCCTCTTCATTTCTGTCGACTTCACAACTGGTTTATTTATTTCCGAATATTCTATTAAAAAAGAAGGTAAATCATACCTTTTGACAGACAGAACAAACTGTTCGCCACAGCATCATCATCATTTCCATATTAGGCACTGCACCTGGAGCGAACAATGCAAGAGGGGGTGGCATCGGTAGCGCTCCACCACCAGGTAAAGATACCGGCCTCGGACCAGCCTCTTCTCCACCCATACCAGCGTCAAATATTCGGCGTCCTATGATGACTAGAGATTGTTTTGTTTATAGTTGAAATATGGGTAAGATCTACCTCGCCTACTAGGGCTTTGTTGCCACATGTGAGTTCCCATATGGACTTTGAGATTACCACGAGTGGTGAACGCACGACCGCACATTTCACATTTGAAAGGTTTGTCACCTGAAAATGGGGCTATATGTAAAAAATTTTAAGAAGCAGCGTGTGTTCAGTATTGAAGTGCAAACGAACGACACCTGTGTGCGTTCTCATGTGGATCTGCAGAGCTGAACTGGAGCTGAAATGCTTGAAGCAGACCGCACATTGATGTTTTGACAGGACTGGGAGCTAAAAATTAACTCAATTTTTGCCATTGGAAAAAATTACAAAATTAACAAAAATTATTAGTAGTCTGGAGTTTCATCTAAAGGTTACTAGAATGTTCTTTTTTCTCCAAATCTCCACTTATTTGTGTTCTTGGTGATATCTAGCTCAATGTACCTGTCGCGGTGGTGGCGGCTCAGTTTCAGCCCACATTTTCTGCATTGCC